AAAAAGTCTTAAGACTAAATCCTTATAAGAGTATGAAGACACTTTTTTTTATTTATTGAGACTAGGTCTTGCTAAGCTGTGTAGGCCAACTCAAACTCACAGTGATCCTCTTGCCTCAGCCTCCCAAATGCTGAGATTACAGGCATGCACCACTGTGCTCACCTTCTACTATTCTAAAAGTTAACAATTCAAATAATAACAGCTAACATTAATAAGCACTGACTTTGCCCAAGGTCACGTGGACAGAAAGCCAGGATCTGAACCCGTCAAACGTGGATCCAAACCTCCTTCTCTTTTCATCAGCTTAAAATTGTAATGGTTCCCATCTTTAGAATTCTCTTTATTTCACATGCCCATTCATCTATTTTATTTCTCTTTCTACTACTTTGAAAAATTTCTACTTTTCCTCAATTATTCTCTTCCTATTAGTAAATAATGAGCAATTTTTAAATTGCTTATGCCCAAAATATAGCCACTTTGACTTGCCATTCCCTTCCACAGTCAATAAATCCACAAACAAATCGTCTTACCCCTACCTTTAAAATACATCCACAATTGGGCCATAGCTTAAGCACTTCCTCTGTCACTGCTCAACTCAGGCCTCTACTAGGTGTTTTTTGAGCTCATCTATCAGTTTAGGGCTTTTCCTCTTATTTTAATACTTGCATGTCTTGTTATCTCAGTTCTCCATTCAGATGTCATCTGTCGGGGGTGTTGGGGCTGGGGATTTAGCTCAGCGGCACAGCGCCTACTTGGCAAGCACGAAGTCTTGAGTTTGGTTCCTGGTACCAGAGGAAAAAACAAACAAACAAAAACCCCAAAAAACAAAAACAAACAAACAAAAAAACCAAACAGATACCATCTGTCAAACAGATATCCCTTTTCTAAAAAAAAAGCAACATCTCCATTCTTGTTTTCTGCTTCTTCATAGCACTGTTCTAATATTCTCTGCAGATACTCAATATACACTCTATATACTCAATTTATTTTCTTTCTCCCTCATTCCCCAGAATGTAATTTTCACAAGGGTAGGGAACTGGTCTTTTTTGTCAAATGCTATTAACCCAGCACAATGAGTAGTGCACAGTAGGTACTCAGTCAGTACTGAATGATTAAAATTATTTTTCAGTATTTATTTTCTTCCTTTGTGTTCTTAAAATTTAAAATATTCTGGGATGAAGATGTAGCTCAGTGGAAGGTTTGGGTTTAATCCCCAGCACTACAAAACAAAACAGAGTAACCCAAAACCAAAAAATAAAAAAGATATAATTGTCAAGTTATAAACCATAGTCAGATGAAGCTAAAATTTAAATAGCAAATACATTCACAGTTTAAAAATCAGCAATCCCTAAATATAAAAATCACATTTACAGTTTCAAGATATTCATATTTCTGTAAGCAACATTCGCAATATCCTTTTCTTCCTTCTCTTTCAGTGGGAGTTGAATTGGGGTTCTACCACATTTGTTGCCATCCGTTTGGATTCTTAGTTTAACCTGAGTTTGCTTTTAGATGCTATATAGCTTATCTACATCAAATGGACTGCAGGGCTTCTGAACAGAATAGTTTCTTATAGGCATATTGGCAAGCTGAAGATAAAATGGCCTATAAAACTGACTTATATCTTCGACTTTTACAAAAGGCCGTTTGAGTCTTCCTGTTCTTGTTTTTTGTGTTCCAATATTAACATTTTCCCCACATCTCTTACAGAAATGCTTGATTTCTTGTGTGCGTACAGCTCTTTTTTCTTTTATTCAGTGTAGCATCTAATATCATCAATATGCAGAATTTTTACTCCCCATGATAAGGCATTTGGTAATATACTATTTGAAGGAATAAGGTCATGATCCTTGATCGCTTTGCAGACTAATAATTTTCCTCTGCTTAAACACATCGTGTCTGGAGTCTTACATGAACTTCCATCATGACTTGGAGGAGGTGAAGTGGTTTCTGCAGATTCTGGACTTGGTACAGGAGAAATTCGACTCAGTGTTTGCACAAATTTTACTTCCTTTTTATTCAAAATAAGATAACTGATATGCTGAGAAATTCTTCAACTCACCCTCCTAAGTCCTTTATGTCCTTTTGCAGTTTTTCAAATAAGGCGACAGACGGCAAGTGAAGGTAAAATACTTTTCCCCAGAGTGGTTTATATTTGGATTTTTCTGATCTGTTATTACTTTTAAGAGATTTCAGAGATGATCTGTTCTTTTCATTTTTGACTTGGATTGCACCCTGGAATGACCCTTTGCTGTGGATCCGCGTGGCGCCCCAGTTCAGGGCAGCTGCCGGGCACTACACGCTGGGTCCGGGTGGCAGGGCCAGGCTTCTCTGGTGGGGAGGGCCGGGTCCGCGGGATCCGAGGCTGAGGACCGGAACGGAGGACAGCCCATTGGAGGGCTGCCGTTGAAGATGTGAAAACGCATCATGCCAAAAATTTTCACAAAACTTCAAAAATTAAATGAATACAAATCAGCCAAAGAGATGTAAGCTTTCTTTAGTGAAAATTACAGCATTTTGTAGAAAGAAAATGAAGAGGACAACAGACAGTGGAAAACCATCCCTTGTTCTTGGGTTGGAAGTGTGAAAATTGTTTAAATGGTTATAAAATAGATCTATACATTCAATGCAATGTATAGATTAAAATACCAATATTTTTCAACAAATTAGAGACAGCAATTGTGAATTTCATTTCAAATAAAAAAGAATCAAAATACCGACAGCAATCTTGAACTCAAGCAGTAATACTGGAGGCATCATTGTACCAGACTTCAAACTGTGCTGGAAGGAGGCAATTAAAACCAAAAAAAACCACTCTGCAAACAAGAAGTATAGTACTGGCACAGAATACAAATGTGGGCCAATAAAAAAACATACAGAAACAAACATGAACACCTACAGTCAAGGATGCAGAGAAAAAAGGAAAGTGCCTACATTGCTGCTGGCAAAGTGAACTACTACAGCTTCTTTGAAAGTAAGCATGGAGATTCCTCAAAAGTCTAAACCAGGGATGGTGAACCTTTTGCAGACAAGTGCACAAACAGCAAGCCCAAACCCACTTATTTATTGCAGACGCCAACACTGCAGTTAAACCTGAATACAGAGGTTTTAGTTTAGAAAAAGCAATTCATACATTATCATCTTTTGCTTTAAATGAAAAAGAAATAACAAGTGTGCCATAGGCTTGCCACCACTGGACTCTTGAACCATTTGAAATACAATTTAGCCCAGCTTCCCAGCATATGGGGTATTCCAGGAAGAATCATGGACTGTACTACTATAATGATACATGTGTAGCCATGTTTGTATCAGTGCAATTCACAATTGCTAATCTGTGACATATCTTTAACAGAAGAATGGATAAAGAAAATGTGGTGTATATATACAGAATGGAATAATATTCAGCCATAGAGAAGCATGAACTCAAGTCACTTGCAGGAAAATGAATGGAACTAGAAACCGTCATGTTAAGTGAAAGTAGCCAGTCACAGAGAATTAAATGTCACGTGTTTTCTCTTGTGTGAAAAACATAAAAATACACAAATTAATAAGCAAATAATTAAAATAAAGGAGAGAACAGGAAACCATGAGGAATAGTTCTGGAATGGGGGAGGAGCCAAGTTAGGGGGGTGAGAAGGAAGGGGATTGACATTGATTACAATATGTTAAATGCATGTACCAACTTTGCAAAGTGATCCTTATGTAATATTAACATGCACTACTACAAGACAAATTGTGTTGGAAAATTCCTAAGTTTACAGTACTCAGTCACCTTTTTTCTGGGTTCATGGCAATTTCATATATCAACATATCTGGTTATCCTTTTTAAAAATAGCAACATAGTTCTAATTTACGTGTACCTATTTTGCACTCACATAGGTGCATTATGACAATAATGGAATATTTTCTCTTAAGACATCAATTAAACAGAAATGCTTTGCCTATTAAAACACAGATCCCTTCTGCTACAGTAGGACACATGTCCTTAAATGATATGTAATTACCACAAGTCAGTGCTAGCAAACCTATGGCATGCATGCCACAGCTGCATGGTTGTTATCCCTGAAAGCTCTTAAGTATTCTCCATCACTGCTATAAGCACCTGAAATTTTTTTTTCAGAATTTGGCAACTACCAATGTAGATATCATTGAGAAAGTATTGTTTTGTGATCCACTAAAGGAAATATATCTCAGTTAATAGAAATGTTTTCACTGATTTATTTGAATAGTGTAGGGTATTATGTAAATATGGCTATAAACAGCTGTAAAGACAGTCATGAAACTGTATCTAGAATTGCTCTGCCGTATTCTAAACATTTGGTTAAGTGAAGTTAAATATTTGCAGACTCACCAGCAACATTGATATTTTTTGCACATCCTAGGAGACCTTGTCCTGGGTAGGATAAGTTTTATGTGACCCTCATAGTGCCACATGTTCATCTTGAGCAGTCCTTCACCACTGTCATACTGCTTTTGGGTAGCTTTAAATGGATACATTAATCATATCATCTGCTGCATTTTACCACTTTATGGTGCTTATCAGTTCTTGATTTAGGGTTATGAAAAATCTGCTTCTGACCCCTAGTTATGGAAATAAAGTGCAAACCTTTTAAATAATACATTATTTTTGAAAGGAAGTAGACTGGGGTATGTGATGGTGGGGATTGTTCTAGTCTGTTCCAGAACTGCCAAGCTATTTAGAGGAATAGATGATTGACATGTCTTTAGAACACTCAATAGCCCTCAAATGGCCCATCATATTCATCAGTTTCACATCCCAAGATTCAGCTAAACTTGGCTCTAAAATATAGAAAATAAAATTGTGTCTGTACTGAGTGAATACTTTATTCTTTTCTTGTCATTATTCTCTCAACAATACTGCATAAGCAGTTTGCACAGTATTAGTTTGAAGGTTTTAGGGTTCTCAAAGAAGAATTTGTTTGGACTTCCTCCTGAAACCCCTGGACCTGATTTGATTCATGGTTTTTGCTTTTTTGTAGGTAATTTGGTTTATGACATTCCTTTTCCTAAGTACTGGGTCTCAGCTCCCGTGGCTTCAGTACATCAGTATTCCACATTACGGTCTGATGGTAATTATGCTTGTTCATCTTTCTGACTGGGTTCCCAGGCTGGAAACAAGTAAAATAAATAAACCGTGGTCATTTGCTTTTCCTGGCCATTGCTCTAAGGAGCAGTGGATGAGAAATCCCTGTTCACTGTGGTTAGCACAAGATCTGGGAGCGGCCTGTGGTTTTTCCCTAGTCTCTCCAACCTGGGGGATGTGAAGGGTGGGGTGAATCTCACAGTAAAATAGAAGATTAACCAATTGATTAAAGCATATTATTGTGTATCACTTCAGTGTGGAAATAAAAGAGACAGTAGGAGACTCGAATGCATAGTTTGCATCTCACCTAAGAACAAAAACAAGACCATGGAACGCTCACAGCCACATTTGCTTTAGCATGATAATCAACCCCAAAGAAATTTATTTCTTTTAAAATTTTAATGTAATGTAAGTAAATACTAATAAAGAAGATGTAAAAAAGCACTTTTCTTATTTCTGAGAAAAAAATAATAAAATAATTAGCAATAGCCACAGTTAAAACACTGGGTATCTTAATCTTAAGTAATAGTGAAGGTGTTACTCAGAGTACAAGTCATAGGAAAAAAAGAGTGAGCAGAAAAAGCATGAAATTTTTTCTTTTTTCTTCTCTTTTCTTCTTTCTTTTCTCCTCTCCTCTCCTCTCTTTTTTTTTCTTATCTTTTTGAGACAGGGTTTCACTATGCAGTTCAGGATGGTCTTGGACTCGTTTTTTTTTAGCTCAGCCTGGCCTCAAACTCCCAACAAAGGAAATTACTAGATAAGTGTGTTTATAGCTCCCTTAATTGCAGCTGGTTTTGATAAAATCAAAGAAGAACCAAAGACTGTTGCCATGAACCAATACTATCCATTGAGCACCACTGTTATCACATCAAGGTTAGGGTTTCTGAGTTTTTGATCCAGTGGAGAGAGGAAGGATGGAGCTACCGTCTGAGGGAATCTACCCAGTGGTCTCCCTGGCCAACTGAAAGCAACACCTCCACCCCTAGGCCTGTTTATGACCAGGAAAATAAGCCTAGTTGCTTTGCTGGGACAGGACTGTGAATGTGAAACTTGGTGTGTTTTCAGAAGGAATTGTGATATATTTCTTGGAAAATTTAAAAATGTTTACCATGCCCTAATTCCCATTGTGTTTTAGGCTTTGCAGCACAATGACCTTTTGGGACAAAACTTCTGTCAAAGACTCAATAAAACTGGGAGCAGTGTCTGTCCCAACTATGTCATGTAAGTCTGTGCTCAGTGTCGTGATGGGCTGGCTCCTCTGTGGTGCTGTGGAGGAAGCCCTTGGGCTTGCTGCTGGTGTAAGTCCTTTCAGTGAGTGCGTCCTTCTGCACTTGGCTTACCCCATCTGTGTGAGTGCGTTATTCTGCATTAATGCCTGGGGACATGCTGCACAACTCTTGTGCCTGTCTGCAGTAAATATTACATGTAATGCAGACAAATGCTTGTGTTACACTTTCAAAGCTATTTTGGTGTTTTGATCGTTGGTTTCAGTTTTTTCGCCGAGGACATTTGAGTCTGAGATGCGCTGCTTTGGCAGTGAGTCAAGGACTTACAGACTCTGGTTTCTGTGAACACCACTCACAGCTGAAAGGGAAGCAGCAGTTTAAGGGGGGTGTCACGACTTGGCGCTTCGACTTCCCTCAGGCATTAGACGATACTGTGAAATAAAAATTTGCACAGCTGAGTGTGTCTGTGTGTGTAAATGGCCTGTAAGATGCATCTTTTAGAGAGAGGAAACCGTATCTCAATACATTAAGGAAGTCTCATTTTTACATAATGACATTAAATCAAGGGTGCAGTTCTAATAAAGTTAGAAGATCTTACTTTAAAATTTTAATGACACTTTCCTTTTCCATGTCTGTTGTTAATGTTTGATTTTCATGCATTAATTTATGTGAGAAGACAGAATATTTCTTTCTGTTGCATGGCGTCCTCTGATGCCTGAGGCGAACAACATTGTCAGGATTGTGGTTGGGCAGCGTTCCCTCCCTTTGTGCTGTTGCTGTCCCTTTAGCTCCTGTCACTGCCCACAGGTTGGGCTCACAGGTAGCAAAGCCTTTTTACTTAACAACCAAAATAGCTCATTTCAAACTCTAAAGAACAGGACGTTAATATACTCTAAAGAAGTCATTTTCTACTTCACATAGTGTATAAAGAATTCTTAGAATTGAGGCAAATTTGTGTTTGGAATTATTGGCTGTAAAATCCTATATAAAGAGTGATTCTTTCTACCCAATTTGCTTCCTTTGCCAGGTGTGGCAAATTTATAAGAAAAACTTACTGCCAGCTGGCTGGTCAGGTGGAAGTGGACGGGAAGAAGTGGGACCAGTGAAGGAGGATCTGCCCTAGGCTTTACCTTCACCTGAGGCTCACCCTCAGAAGAGTGAGGACAAAGCTACTTTAAAGGAAAAAGAGGCTACAGACATTTTTACTAGAGCCTAGTTCTAAGAGATGCACAGGAGTGGGAACAGGCAATAATTTTGGCTACCACAGGCATTTTGAGCACAGGAGTTCTTTTATCTGTAGCAAGACAAGTGCATCCTACTGTGCTTCAGCTACCTAAGATTTGAATCTGTTACCTGGGCCTGCTGAAAAGGTCTTGTAGCTGAAATCTTTGATGTTCCTCAGTCTTGGCGCAAGAGCTGATACAATGTGATCTAACCAAAGCCCTTATTGCTTCCCTGTTGTCCTACTTTTAGGATTCATAGCCTGGGATCTGGATGGCTTTCTTATAGATCAGCACAATGAAAAGGAGCTTTGAGGTTCTTAGCAAGGACTGTGGGTGTCATAGGATAAACTCTCAGTATTGTTCATCAAAAGAAAATAAAAAATACTTCATAAATATTTCCTTTGAAGAAAACAGCATTACAGATTTGGAAACAACTGAATCAGAGGAGGCTAGAAAAACAATCTCACTCTGTAACCTAGGCCAAGTTTATTAAACCTAATCCCATTCCTTCTTTAAATGTGTATTATATCTCCTCTCTGGATCACTTCAGGGAGTAGTTGCCTAGACAGTATCTAGCAAATGGTAAGCACTCAATTACCCTTAGCTACTATAAATTGAATAATAATTATTAATGTTTTGTTAACCTGTAGGATTCTTTATCAAAGGAATACTGATGATATTGAGTAAAATTTAACATATGCTAGGAAAGAAGTCATATCCCTTTTGTCTTGAATTTCAGATGTACTGGTGAAGAATTCCTGACAAGTCTGGGTATTGATCTCTCCCCTTGGGGCTTATGGAAGAATCACGTGGCTTTGGCTGTTATAATCATTGTCTTCTTCACAATTGCTTTCTTAAAATTGTTCTTCTTTAAAAAACATTTTTAAATTCCCCTTTAATGTGCTGTGAATTACTTTCACATTAAAAGGAACATTGTGATTTATTTTCTGCATCCTAAGGTTTCCTTTTGTCTTCTGTCACTTGGCGTCATACTGCTGTTCAACAGCAATTTTTTTTTGAGACAAGGTTTTCAGCAAGCTGGCCTTGAACTTACAGTGATCCTCCTGCCTCTGCCTCCTGAGTGCTGGGATTACAGGTGTATGCCACCACGCCCAGCCAACAAAAATTATTTTTAATGGAACTATTCACCAAAATTAGAGCAAACTGAGTTATATAAGGAAGATCTCAAGCTAAAAATAAGGTATTGTAAACTGCTTGTTAAATTATGTTGTTAGACAAAAATCATGGGGATGTAGTCTAATGTATTGAACTGAAAAAGAAAACGGAATTCTAGAAGGCTCTGACAAACTACTAATATCCTTGGTATTCATATCCACACCTTTCAAATGAATAGGTGGTCTAGTGACCCTCCAGTTATAGTATTCTATGGATATGTGATCTTCTGCTCTTTTAGAAATAACAAAAGGAACAATGTTGTATTAGAAGAATGAAATCTGACATATGTTGGAAAACAAAACCAATGTTAACTCAAGGATTAAAAAACTATATGGTAGAAAATATGTTTCATAATGTTAAGGTTGGTGGAAATTACTGATAGTCCTCTCTAGAGAATTCTAATAAATCAGGTTTATTTGAGGAGATGTTTAGTTTTTGTACTATCCCTGGGACATTTGGTTCTCTTTTCTCCCCTCTGGGGCAGTTTAGTAGTTTTATAATCTATGTATCAGAATCTGCTGGGAACTTTGCTAAGACACATGTCTGGATCCTGCCTCATCTGGAGGCAGGATCACTGCAGCCTCTGCACAGCTGCCTCCTTAAAGAACTGATTACTACCAGACTCAGTCATTCCCATCACCCTTGCCATTCTGGAAATTCTAAACTTGTGGTTTACTGTTGTATCTACCCCTGGACAAGTCTCCCTGCTACTTCTCCAGCACTTTATTTCTACATCATTCTGAACTTGAACATTCATCAGCAGCAAGGAAGTATCTGGCATTAATACAAAAGTGTTTTTAGATTTCTTGTTCTTGGTAGTGTGGTGTACCATAAAGTCCAGTTCAATAAACTGTTGTAAAAGACACACACACAACCATCACTCCAGGTCAAGAAATGAAGCATGACCAGCTCCAACAAATGCCTCCTGCCCATCACCCATTCACTACTTCCCCCATGACTATTCCAAAAGAACACACGTGTGCTCCTTCCTGTTCTTATCAGAGCATCTGTTCTGCTCAGTTTTCTGTTCTTGTGCGCACAAGCGCAGACTTACAGCTCCTTACCGCTTTTTAATAACTTTTAAGTTTCAAATAATTTTACATTTACAGAAGAGTTGCAAACATAAGAGGAAAGTGCCCATGTGGCTTTTGCCCAGATTCCCTCAGTGTTAACATTTAGCCCGTATGAAACACTATATATAAACCAGAGCTTGAACATGAGTGTTGGGACATTGCTGTTACTTATACTGTACATTCTATTCACTTTTAACACTTTTAAAAATAATATTGTTTCACTGTTCTGTGACCCAGTTCAGGACATCGCATTGCATTTAGCTCTTCTTCTCAGAGAGGTGTTTTCATATTTAAGGGGTCCGGGGCCCAGCAGTACAGACGCCCTGTGAGTCAGTCACCTTCGAACACTCTGCCAGGCTGCTGCAGTGTCTGTCGGGGAACACAGCTTCACATTTTATTTTTAGTATCAAGAGATACTTTAATTTTAAAAGACGCATGACAATTTCAGAACATATCTTTTTTGTGGATCATTATATGAACATCAAAAATGATCATTTTTTTCATTTTTGGTACAATTCCAGCTTTAAAAAAATAAAAATAACTGTTCCTTGAGGAAGCACCAGACATACCATGGATGGGAAATGCCCAAAGCACTGCTTACTGATGAGTGTGAGTGACACCTTACAACAGGAAGCATGAGCCACGCCATGCAGGCAATTTGAGCCAGGAAGCAAACACCTGCCACACTCTGGCCAGCTCTGCCTTTTGTTTCCCCCCGACACAGGGCTTCAGAGGACTCTATCAACTGGCCAAATTGGCCATGGCCCAACTGTTGCAGGCACAGGGACTCATTTGGCATCACCAAGTATATAGAACTGAAAGGAACTCTTGCTCTCCTAGGCTGGCCACGCCCCTCCGTTTGGCTGTGAAAAGGACATGAAAACACCAGGTGGAGGCCTGAGCAGTCTAGGACATAAGCCAAGAGTTGTTTGTTCTCTGCTCTACCTAAATTTAGGTTACGAGAAAAATATTTTGTTCCCTCTGCTTGCCTGCAGGGTTGCTATGACCTAACCGCTTTCTGATAAGTTACTACACCAATTGATTAACAGAAGGTCATGTGTTATGGTCTGATGCTTTGCCAACTGAGAACTGCCTTTAAAATTACTGCTGTACAATAAAGCTTTGCTCAGAGCTCTCTGAGCCCTCTCAACCAGTGTCAGTCTGTTCTTGTGCTTCTTGGACCTGCACAGCTGGACTGTGCCACCCAACACCCTTGGAGAGCAGTGAAAAATCTGAGGCCTTCTTCTTTTCACCTCAGAGAATCACAAAAATAAAAGGTTACATGAAAGGAATGGGAGCTCTCCCACAAGAGCATGCAGATCCTGGAAGGATGTGCAGCACCCCAATGCAAGGGCATGACCACCAGCAAGTCCAACACTGCCCTGCATTTTGCTTCCCCATGGCAGGCCTAGGAGAACTAACCAAGTGCTCTTATCCTGCACCAGGACAATGAGGAAGAAAGATGGGATCCAACAGACACCATGACCGCAGATATTCAACCCAACAGTCCACTTGTACCATTGCTCTGCAGACTAAGTCCAGCACAGAAAACGTGACTCATTGAGTTCCTCATCTACCAACAGGAGCAAACACATGCCTTGGCTTGGCCAGTAACAACAATCTGGGTAATCGGACAGAGGGACCTCTGGTGCAGGGAGGGTACCTCAAAAACCCATAGTCCATAAATTTTGGAACAGAAAATCATGATTGAATGGTTCCCAAGGCTGCAGATCTTGGAATGAAACCACTCATTCAATAATTTTTCTTTGACTCAATTGTTTTTGATTTTTCTTTATATTATTTTTATCTTTCCGGCATTGTTTTGTCTTGGGGGTGTGGAGTTTGGGGTTTTTTCTCCTTTTCATTTTGTCTTTTAGTTTCTTTTACCTCCTTTTCTCATTTTATCCTATAATTTTTCTTCATTCTTCTCTTTCTTTATGTGTTGTTTTTGCTCTGCATTTGTTTCTTCTCTTTTTTCAATTCTTTCCAGCAATTGTTCTCTATCACTATTAATTTTGTTACCTCTCAATAGGAGCCCCTATATCACTTTCTCTCCTCCCTCTTGAACCACATTGCCTAATTTTCCAAAGTTTGCTTTCTGTATTTTCTGGTTCCCCACCTGTACTGTCATTTTCATGTAACTTCTAAGCCTTATGAATCTGTAGATAGTTACTTAACATTATTCTATTGCTGTTGAATACTCTTTGATTCATAGTAGAGGCACCTTTATTTCATTTAGTAAACATTTACAGTAGGTCAATAATAGTTTAGATTTTTTGCCTTAATGTTCATCTTATAATTATAGATCTCTCTTCTATGCTTAAGTGTAGTCATTTATTGGTCTTTAGGGTTTATAGCTGATATTATAATTGATGCTGGTTTTATAACTGCAACAAAGCTGACAAAGCTATTGTTGTTGGTTGGTTTTCTTGGAACACCAATATCTGGATTACCTTGGGGTCATGGCCAATACTATTGGCAGTTCCTGAAAAACTGGGCACTGGGCCAAATAAGTTACAACATTCTAGCCATGTGATATAAGGTAGTCCAATACAGGGACAGAGGAAAAGGCAAATATTTGGCCATATCCAGAGGGCACCACTGAAAAGTGTACATTAAATCAAGAGGTCCCCATACTAGAAACAAAGCTTTTCACTACAATCAACCACAAGCCTTAAAGCAAATGAACAAACATGAGAACAAAAGCCAACAAAATGCCTTGGAAACTCCTAACTCCCCCAGACATAATCCATATGGCATCAAAGGAGAGAAGACCTAAAGCCATACTCCTGAATTTTTTGATTTTATAACAGGGCATATTTAAAAACCATGTCATTTGACAAGCTCATTGAATACATAAGTAAACAAGTACTGTGAACATTGAACAAAATGACCAGGGAGTCCATAGTAGACATTTATAAAAAGATAGAACAGCAAAACAGAACAGTGCAAAATATACATGACCAGCACAGGAAAGAATTACAGTCCAGAAAATGGCTCCAAACAGAATTCAGGAGGTTAAAAATTCTGTTAAAATATGGGCAGCAGAAGGACCAATGTGAGGACAGAGTATCAGATTAGAAAATAATGCTGTTGTTGCTGGTCAGTTAATGAGGGGAACAAGCTAAAAAGAGTACATGAGAAATGGATCCAAGAGCTACTGGACAATGGAAAGATTAATTTAAGAGTAAGTGGAATTAGTGGAGAATCAGAAGGCAAAACAAATGATGTAAAAAACGTGCTACCTGAAATGATAGTAGAAAGCTTTAAAAATAAGGAGAAGGAGTGTAACATAAAGATAAGTAAGGAATATGGAACCCCAGGTAGCCACAACAAGAAAAGAACATTTCCATAACACATTGTAGAGAAAATTCCAGAACTGGAACCAGAACAAGAACAGAGTCTAAGAAGCAGTTAGAGAAAAGCAATACATCACTTATGAAGGAAAAATCAGTTACAATTTCAGCAAAAATTTCAACACATAATTTAAGGCTAGGAGA